ACACACACACACACACACACACACACACACACACACACACACACACACACACACACACACTTGTGATGTGGCATTAATCAGTCTATTGTCCTTTGTCCAGTCCTCATGAACAACAACTGACTCCTCTCCTTCTCTATTGACTGCCTCTCAAACGGGAGAATAATTGCTCAGAAATCCTGTTTGTGACATGTTAGAAACAAGCATGTTAAGTGTGCAGTTCAACTTATAGTTGTTTCCAGTACTGATATATTCTTTTTTAATCTATTAAATATTTACTGTATAAACTGTCTAAAATTACTAAAACAAAGTGATCCTTTGCCAAAAACCAACAATTTTGTTACAGAAATACGACATTAAAAGCTTTCAGAAAAGTGTTGCATAGGGTGCGTGTATTTGATTTACAGGTGACTTAGCCTTTGTGTTGTATATAGTAACTCTGTTTCAAGCTCTATTACTTGTTCTTCGTTGTATTCTGTATACTGTACTGTACTACATTGAGACTTTGTCTCCTGGTTGTACTATAGGGCCTTTCCCTAATTTTGATATTTCTGGCAGTAACTGGTCATATCTGAAAATGGTTGTGATATCACTAACGGTATGCCAGTTCAAACAGAAATAGAGCTGATATATCAGTAGCCATTTTTTCATATTTACTCTGGACAATGTCTAAAAAAATTTGGTCCCAAGAGTTGCCTTTTCATACAGGTACCCCACAACAGGAGATGGTCTTTGTGTCACTGTGAATCCTCTAAATGATGACCTGCTCAGCTTTGTACTATGGACCTGGCAGGGTAAAGTTTGTATAATGTCCGGTACAACTGATTTGAGCATTTGTAATCACACATACAGCTCACCTAGGTAAAAGCCTGAAAAGCTCAGGGTAGCAGTGCCCCTGTGAATACGGCTCTAGTGAGGAACAGTCTGATCTTCAGTGAATATTTAAAGACAAATAAATCCTGGTACTGTATTACGACATACAGTAGATCACTGTAAACTAGTCTCTCAGGCTCCAGTCCTGCTTTTTTTGAATATATCTATGACTCTCCCTGCCACAGGATCTGATCCAGCTTGTGATATAGTCTTATGTAATGCCTTGTCTTGTGTACATGTGTCTCATCCGTGGCATTGTCTCGGGTTTTTGTTAGTGCTTCCTGCAAGCAGCCGGCCGTCTATCTCCGCACCACCATCACTATGTGCTCTGCAGAGTTATTTCTGGATGTCATGCTGCTATGTTTTGTTCTCCAACAGCTAAAAATACACCCTTACCTCGCTGGTCATGGGCTTCAGCTACAATCCGTATTGTTTTTGATCAGGGTGTGTAACTGATGTTATTGTGTTTAATACTTTGGCACAAAGTGGTGGGGTTGGTGAAGTGAACGCTTTATAGACACATGGAGGCACAAAATCTCATACAAACAGCTGCAGGGGAAGCAGCAGGGTTGTGGGACAGCCAAGGAGATAGTCCCACCATTGATGTGTGTCTACACGTTATGGGTGTGCATGTGTGCCTCAGGGCCAGGGTCACCTCTGTCCCAGCTGTCTTAGGGGGTGGAGGCTTGGCGTGCCCCTAAGACTTGCAAATACCCTCTCTGCTCCGCTCAATACAAAGCCGTAGTTTTCTTCAGAATGCACATGTGCTGCACTTCACAGCACACTCGCACTGAGGCACCCGGACAGGCACACGTTATACCCCATGCAGACCAACTGCTCCCTCAATCAAACAATTCAGCACATGAGGTTTGAGCCTGGCCAAGTGGAACAGCATCTTGCTTTTTGTCTGGCATAAGAAGGATTTAGAAGCAATTCAAGAAATATGATCAACTTAATGAAACTGGATCGTGCTATGAAAACAATTTGATGTAATTAGTTTATTTGATTTGAGCCTTGAAATACTTGACTAATCAGTGATTGAGTTTCTTTTTGTGTCTTAGTATTTGTCTGGGATGACTGGATTGAGATTCCTTTGACAAATGTGTAAGCGTAATATCACTATTTCATTAAAAACATTCCTGGGAAGAGTGATGTGCTATGTAGCTGTGTAAGCGGAGCAGCTCTGACAGTTGGCTCAGCCTGGCTACAGCAGTTGCATTCATGCACACATCACACAAACACACACAGAAGAAAAGTGTGGGTCAATAGCCCCCCCCCCAAGGAGAACAAGACCAGCCATCTGTTGTTGGCCACAGTGCTGGTCCATGCCTCACACACTCCCACACCGCACACATACACACACATCACATTCAGCTCAACTTTCCTCCATACCATACACCCTGCCCTACCCCCCCAACCTCTGTATGCAATAACCGCCGCCCCCTTACCACACGCCTTTCTCGCTGCCTCTCTCTGCCACGTTTTGCCATCCCTTACAGTGCATTAAACCGCAGAGAACATCAGTCATGGATGTCTGTGCTCTCCAGATGGACCTTGGAAATCTTGACTCCCTTAGGCCACATCAAAGCTAGTAGGGAGTTCCCAGCAGGAGGCTGCGAGTCAATACTGTAACTTCAGAAGTTTAGGTGGTTTGATTCAAGGACAGCGTGGGTAAATACTTTGTCTGGGGGGTCTCCGTCTCTCCAATTGCTTTGCGTATGGCATTTGTATTCCCACAGTGAAGGAGATGGTTTAGCAAAGTAGCTCGTGCGCCTTAGTCTTTTTTGTTTCTTTGCCAGGAGAATGAACACTTGTGCTTTTCAGTCTCCATCATCGGAGGCTACGTAGACAGACAGTCAATCTTTTAAACAACTGTTTGGAGTCAGCACAGCGGATCAGGAAAACCACAACGTTTTTCTTTGGATACTGGGGCTGGTAGCTGACCACACCTGGGTTGAAGATGTACTGGGAACTGTGGCTGAGCCAGGTCACGGCCAGTGCCGCGCTGCAGTGCATGCTGGTCCAGAACAAAGGTGGGCAAGCCTTGTGTGTAAATGTGGAAGCGTAGTGGACAGACAATGTGAAGCTAAAATGTTTAGCAAAAGACAAGGATGTTGAGAGTGCGGATTTGAACATAAGTTGCTGTTCAAATCTCTCTGCTATACTAACAATGGGAATGCTTAACTATTTGATGAATTTTTAGAGCAATGACACACAGTTTTCACTCAATACTTTGAATTTGGATGGAACATTTAAAGTATTTAACATAGTGTCTCCCAGTGTCTCAGAATCTTAGTGAGAAAAGTCTGCACCATTCTCACTCACTCAAAAAAGTTGTCTGGCATCTAACAATAATCTAACAATTCTCAAATTAAAAAGCAAATGTTAACTTCTTTGCTACATGAGTCCAATTTTCACAGTCAGCTGCTGAGTTTGTGTCAGTCACAGTTGTGGTTTATACTAGTTTCCTTTTAGCTCAGTAGCATTGTTCTTGAATTTGTTAGTTTGGTTGGCTGTTTTATTACTAGACCGAGGACATATATCTGCCTCTGACCTTGTTGGCAATAGTGAAACCAGTGTTATTACAGAGTATTACATTCAATGTTTCCCTGCCAACTGTAATTGCAACCACAGAAGCAGTCTGTGATGGTTCAAGGTGAGAAGACAATATGACAAAATTGTTATTGAAAGCACAAGTAATATTGAGCTTTTAATAACAAGTGGGAGTAATTGTCAGACAGTGAACAGAATACAGTACTGAAGCTGCAGAAGGAAGAACATTTTATGAATCAACTGTTTCCTTGTTAAACTGCTGCCTGAATGTGTAGGTGTTAACTGTTAACCATTTTATTTTGGGCTATAAGTACACAAGTCATACAGACACTGTTTTTAAATGATACAGCCAGAACACCTCCGTTTCTGGTCTGGCCATCATTTTGGGGTTTGTATTGCCTTCCCTGTTGTTTCTCAATATAGTTCTTACATGGACAAAATATAAACACAGCTTGGTATAATGCAGCTCTATACAATTATACCATAGTTTATGGCTCCCAAAACAACCATACAGTTAAATGAACATTGCAAGGCTGTTGTTTTGGATTACACTAAATTGTGTGTACATTTGAAGCAAGTGAAAATACATTTAAACTTAAAACCCTGTAATTTCTTTCAGTGAGTTGTAAGATAGGTTAGGCCTTCTTGCATATATGCTAACAACATTGTTTATGTAGTTAATCTATAAACAAACATAGGATAACTCAGCTAAGGTTTATGTTAGTGCAATTTCTTTCATCCCATTTTGAAGCAGGAAAAATGCTTGATAATAGCTTTTCTGTTTTAAACTGTCTTACGGTACTTATTCTCCATTCTCTGTCCGTCTGTTCCGCCACCCTCCTCTCCCACACGCTCAGCAGCTGTCCAGACATGCAGTGACTTTGGCAGCTGTTGAGTGTAGTACATGTTAGCTACGCATGTGCTAGTTTACCATTGAGTGTCTGTGGGTGTATACAATGTAGCTATGGTAATCACTGCATCCTGTGTAGGGAGAGAACCTCTCCCAGTGTTGTAGCTCCTCCCTCTTGCTCCCTCTCTATATACACACATACGAAAACACTCCTACCTCAGATCTTACCTGGTTTAGGCTAGACACAGCAGGACTCTGTGTGTAGCTAGTGATAACGGTGTTCTTCAGATAGTGGATTGAATAAAGTAATGCTTTTGAGGTGCCTGCAGCCAAGCAGCAGTTTTGAGGAAGAGTGGGCGGCTCTGGGTGGCCGTCATCTCCACACAGGACTAAGGCAGGGGAAACCACCTGGACAGACAGGTAGACCATCTGCGAAATCGACTCTTAGGATTAGGGAGAATTCAATCTGGTTAGAGGACATCAGTCTTACTGCTTGTCTGCCCAAGTGCCTTTTTGCCTCGCCCGTATTGGACTCGCGCTTCTTATGATCAGTTTGTGCTGTGGGTCATTATTAAGCATGAAATAATGTATTGTTGTGGGTTTCAATGTATTCTACTGTGTTGTTCACCTTTGCAAGTGTGATGTTGCATTCTCAGTCACATTTTGTTTTCTAGTCTAATAGTGTATCTTCTTTCACCCCTGACCCTTGCCCCTTGTCTTTCTCCAGAAGCTCTCCACCGGCCGTTCGGCCTGGACTCGGCGGCGCTGACGGAGGCGGTGCGCTGGAGCTCTAAGGAGAACCTACTGGGGGCGGCCGAGAGTGACCCTAACCTCTTCGTTGCACTTTATGACTTTGTTGCCAGCGGAGACAACACGCTCAGCATCACTAAAGGTAAACAATGGCATGAAACTGTGATTTTTATTTTCTCTGACTCACTCAAAATGAATTGCTAGAACCAGTTATGTTCTGAAACTTGAACCTCCAGGAAACTCATTCCATGCATCATTACTTAGTTACGTCAGGTTACTTGACCACGCCTTCCTAAGATACACTGTTGCTATTTGTTGCAACAGAACAGAGTGATTTTCTTACATGTAGCAAAGACTCATCAGAAAAATCCTCAAGGCAATGCCAGTGATTGGCAGGTCAGAAACTTCTAGGAAGAATGTTTTATGAGGACAAGTGTAGTTATGCCACAGGAATGTGGTGTGTCAATAGAGTTTGAACAACCTAGTCATTGTAATCTCACCCTGTTGTGACATCAACGGCAATCTGACCCAGCCTATAGCTTTTTTTGTCACCCGCCCACACACCCTACGTCCTCTCTTTTACACTATACTTTAATCCTTCTACACCACCTGTGAGCTGAATATTTTTATACTTACGACTAAATTACCATTGATGGTTATACTATGTCTTAATCGTTTCACTATTTACTTATTTCTTACTGATTTCTCCATTACACACAGAGTCCAGATTTCCCCTCCCTCAACCAGCAGCAGTTAACCAGTCAACCAGCTCTCCCCTGAGTAATAAGCTAAAAATATCCTCATAATATTATCCAGAGACGGCCAGGCTTGTGTCCCAGACCAATCTAAAGCATTAAACGTGGCAGAGTGTGTTAATTATCCATCGTTTTAGGACTTCCACGGCAGCTGCCTGGGATGGAAATGATGTTTAGACCCTGACTCATGGAGTGAATCTGACATTCTTGCCCACATGCATGCAAGCACATGTACACTCCCAGGCTCAACTGCACTTTTCCTATCTGTCCCACTCTTTGCTCTGTCTCATGGAAACACCCCAGCATGCCTCTAATGCTGCGGTAACATGGAATACATTCAACTGTAATAATAACAGGTGGATGAGCGCTGCAGGCCGGAGGCTGATCACAGAGAGGGACTTAGCAGGCTTGTGTCTGGAGCTAAGCTTTGTCTCTTCTCCGTGCCAGGCCGAACCAGGCCAGGCCCGACCATAGCCCTGATTCAGGCACACATTGCTGTTAGTGCAAGGCATGGAAGCAGTCAGTGTTTCCACGTCCAACAAAACTTACAGACACAAAAGGGAGACAAAAAGGAGACTAATAGATTGGTGGGCTGGATGTGGATAACCATCTCTGTTTAATGTTGTTCTGCGGATTGCAAGCATGGAGTGTTTTGCTTTAAGAGCTAGACCTACAGCTCTGGTTAGTGGTGATATGTTAATCGGTTGTCCAAGTGACTAGACTTACTGTAATTAAATGTCTATTTCTCACAGTTTAAGGCTTTATGTAACAGAGTCGGGATAGTCAGTCATTCAGATAGATGCTAGCTTCCTGTGTGAAAGATTGCGCAATATGGTAAAATCATATTGTGATTATTTTGACAAATATTGTGATTTTGTTGTTGTTCACGTTGACTGGGAATAATCATTTTTCAAGAAGAAAAACAATTAATATCATGATGATAGACACACATTTACATTTTACAAGTTGTAGCTTCTGCGATTTGGTTATTTCAATTAATTTCGCAGCCTTATGTAAAAAAAGAACAAGCGATCACAATCACCAAATACATTTCAATGAGGCCTGGCCAGCAGCACAATTTGGTAAAGAACACAGGGTCACCTGGCAAAAAGAAAATTGGAATCTGGCATCAAATTGTGCTGTAGCACGTCATCATTGGGCATAATGCTGCTGTAACCAGCCAAATACATGCAGGCTCATGTTCCTGGTGGATAATTTTGTCATTTGAACAGTGTATTTCCACCTTTTACCTAACTACAAAAGATCAAACATTTGCCACCATGATAACTTTCCAGTTGTGTAATCCTGTCTGTGAGGGTGCTACTGATTTGCAGTGTTTTGGCATCTGATAATCCTTTAAATGCATTAATCCGTTACTCCACCTGGATAAAATGTAATTGTCTCACCGGTATTTGAAGCAACACGCCCACACCAACGCAGCCCTTTGCGTTGTTGTTTTTTTTTTTTCAGTCTGGGCGCCCACTAAAGGGAAACATACCACATTGACATCAGAGTTGCAGAAAGAAGTGGTTATGGGATGTTTTGTGTGCAAAACTTTGAGTCTGAGTGGAGGGAGAGATGAAGAAAATGGGTGGTGGAAGTGCAGAGGTCGATAGACTGACACTTCTGCCTCCCTCCCTGGGCTGACTGAGCGTCACTGCCCTCTTCCCTCTCTTTCATCTTCCCCTTTTCTATGTCCAATCCTCCATCAGACTTGCAGGAATGACCACTTCTTCATTCAGTGTTTGTTGTACTGGTAGCTACCTCCCTCCTCCAGCCTCCAGCAAATCACCCGCTCTGCTCCATCAACTCTCCTGCAATTGCGTCAGAAACAGACAGAGGCAACAGACCAAGTCACTACATGCCTGGCTTTGCCTAGCCCTGTATGACAGATATGCAGTTTACCCAACCCTATCATTGTTCCATAGCTTTTGATGTAGTTTCAGTGAGAGGCACGTCTTATTCATGACTCCTCTCTCCTGTATGTGACCTGTTATTAAGGCGTTATGGCCAAAGCAGTGACCTGATGAGAAATTTCTTTCTACGTCGGTGAGGTTTTGAATAAGTACTGATGAGCTGTAGTCTCTTTTTTTTTTAAGGACACTTAAGCATTACACTCATTCATCTTTCTAACCACCAGGCCATTCTGCCACTGATTATATCACCATTAGATCAAGTCTTACAAGCTGCCCCTCCTATGTCCAGGTGAGAAGCTGCGTGTGCTGGGCTACAACCAGAATGGAGAGTGGAGTGAAGTGCGCTCAAAGAACGGCCAGGGTTGGGTGCCCTCCAACTACATCACACCAGTCAACAGTCTGGAGAAGCATAGCTGGTACCATGGACCCGTGTCACGCAGCGCCGCAGAGTACCTGCTCTCATCCCTCATTAATGGCAGTTTCCTGGTCCGGGAAAGTGAGAGCAGTCCCGGACAGCTGTCAATTTCTCTCCGCTATGAGGGCAGAGTCTACCACTACAGGATCAACACAGCCTCTGATGGAAAGGTAGAGTTTAGTAGAGTGAAGTAAGAGTCCAGCTGTGTAGCTTTTGTGCTGTAGTTGGTGTTAGGACTTTGACAGCATTTACTAACTCTGTTCCTCTATCTCTTCATCCTCACCCACCTCCCCGTCCTCAGGTGTATGTGACGTCTGAGAGCCGTTTTGCCACTCTCGCTGAGCTGGTCCACCACCACTCCACCGTAGCTGATGGACTGGTCACCACCCTGCACTACCCAGCACCCAAATGCAACAAACCCACAGTGTACGGAGTGTCACCCATCCATGACAAGTGGGAGATGGAGCGCACAGACATCACCATGAAGCACAAGCTGGGAGGAGGCCAGTATGGGGAGGTGTACGTGGGGGTGGTGGAAAAGTACAACCTCACGGTAGCTGTCAAGACACTCAAGGTAAGAAGGTCCTCTTGTCGTTATTTAATTCACTGAACTTTATTAACAGCTGAATTGTAAAAATATCCTGTAAACTTTTTCTTAACTCAGAACCTTTGTAATATTGTGTTTTTTACTATTCTATTATTGGGTAATTTTGTGTTTCTATTGGGTGATATTGTGTTTTTTTGTTACTTATTGTACTTGCGTCGGTATCAGGGTGGACAGCACAGCAAAGAAAGAATTTCATTGCACAGAGGAAAACTTGCTTTCTTTTGTTTCATATGACAATAAACATCTTGAATCTTGAATTGAATCTGAATCTTTGTATCTGTAGTGTTGGGGCATGGGCAAAACAATGGTTTTAGATCACCACCTGCAGGTGGACTTTGGTATTACATGTGGTTCTTAGGATACTGTATGTTACATGTTCCCCGCTGCTATGTCTGTCCAACCCACTGACTTTTTTCCTTTTTCCTTTTTCTGTATTGACAGGAGGACACCATGGAAGTTGAAGAATTTCTGAAAGAAGCAGCAGTTATGAAGGAGGTTAAACACCCAAACCTAGTTCAGCTACTAGGTCAGTATTTATGAACCCGATTATTTTGTTGATGAACCTTTAGTTTTTTTTATGTAAAAATGTACAATATTTATACCAATACATTCTGACCGAGATTTTTGTTTGCATCCACGTGTAGTCTAACCACTGCCTCTCTCACAGGTGTGTGTACGCTGGAGCCTCCGTTCTACATTGTGACAGAGTACATGCCACACGGCAACCTGCTGGACTACTTGAGAGATTGTGACAAGGAGGAAGTGAACGCTGTGGTGCTGCTGTACATGGCCACACAGATCTCCTCTGCCATGGAATACCTAGAGAAAAAGAACTTCATACACAGGTAAAGAGATGGTCTAGTTTTGTTTGTCCGTACGTTTGTCCACCCAATATCTCAAAGTAGTCTAATCGCTCTCTTTCCCACCTCTTCCTCTCTATCTCCCTCCCATGTGCTTGGTTCGCTATCCCTCTCTCAGGGATCTTGCAGCAAGGAACTGCCTGGTTGGGGAGAATCACGTCGTCAAGGTTGCAGACTTCGGCCTGAGCAGGTTGATGACTGGGGACACCTACACTGCCCATGCTGGGGCGAAGTTCCCCATCAAATGGACCGCACCAGAGAGTCTTGCATACAACACCTTCTCCATCAAGTCTGATGTCTGGGGTGAGCAATACATGTGCATACATTCATACTAAGTGTTGATTTTTGTCTCGTAGCTTATTTCCAAGGTCCAATCTCTGTGCCTCTAAAAATGCCTTTCTTACAGCATTTGGGGTGCTGCTTTGGGAAATTGCTACCTATGGCATGTCTCCATATCCTGGAATCGATCTGTCTCAGGTCTATGACCTCCTTGAGAAAGGTTACCGGATGGAACAGCCCGAGGGATGCCCACCTAAAGTCTATGAACTCATGAGAGCATGTGAGTTGTAGCTGTCTTACCTACCTCTTACCTATTCACCAAGTGGTTGCACTCCAGTGGGAAGACAACAGCATTAGTTTTAAAACGTGTACAAACAATTTAAAGTCCTATATAGTTGTCAAATACAGTACTTTCTTGTATTAACATACCTTTTTCTCATCTCTCTACCAGGTTGGCAGTGGAGCCCATTAGACCGGCCTTCATTTGCAGAGATCCACCAAGCCTTTGAAACAATGTTTCATGACTCCAGCATCTCTGAAGGTACAGCAACATGTAGCTTAATCTCAGCTGGCATAGAGTTCAACTGTCTGCCTTTTGTACCGCTCAAAACCTGATTTCATAAAGCTTCTAAAATCGCTGCAATGATTAAGCTGAACATGCAAACTGGAATCTCGTTTTAGCTGTTCAATCTGGCTTCTTTGAGAGACAGCTCTTATATTAGTCTTAGTCTTATATTAGATGATGTATGTATGTTGGTTTGAATGTGGATTATGACATCCTTCTAATAGATAACTTTCATGTACATTGCAGAGGTAGCAGAGGAGCTCTGTAAGACGGCCTCCTCTGGTCACTGTGGACCACTGCACTCTTTCAGTCACGACATGCCCCTGTTGCCTTCCAAATCTCGCACACTCCACAAGCACACAGAAAACAAGGAAAACATTGAGGGTGGACTCGACGGACGATCTGACCACAGCACGCACAGTCACTCAGGTACAGCCAGACATGCCTCCCTTACTACCGACCAGTCAGATGCACCACATTATGATTCTGCAGGTATGCCAGCGGACCCTGATTCACAGAGTCAACTGCAGCGCCGCCAAGCCCGCCGCCTGAAAAGAAGGGCCGTCATTTTCCTTCCCGACTAGCCATCTTGCATCCGGTCGATCATCCAGTGCTGTCTGCACAGCCTAACATAGTCCCTATACATTGGCCCAGAATTATAACTGCATCAGCACTTGTGAAAAGTGAAAAGTATTAGTATATTTTATTTTATTTATGTTTAAGTATATGAACCATATAGAACCATAAACCATAAAGTATAAACACACATAAAATAGAAAAAACTAAAATAATGATTGTACAACAACAACAAAAAATATAAAACAAAACTGTAGAAATACTGAAATGTCCGCCATCTTTACCAACATCATGTAGTACTGAGGGATTAATGTGAGACTTTACATTCAATAGAACAGTCCTCCACTGTCTCAAAGAACATGTAACCACAGTAGACTGAGTCTACATCTATTATATTGATTGAATACTTTATCATGTCTAGTTTTAATGACTTCTCCCTATCCCAGAATACACTAGCCCCATGCACAGTACATAACAATAAACATTTAAGTATTAACCTTCCATTAACCTTTTTAGCATTAACCATGGAGTCACTTTAAGTCAACCAGAAGTATACTAAATATCTAAATCTATAACTGAACCATTGTTCTGTTGCTTCTCACACACATATATATATATATATATATATATATATATATATATATATATATATATATATATAGGAAACTATTTGTTATCTGTGATGAATGAAGATCCTGCTCATATTCTGTCTTGTCCTATTTGTTGCATTGCTATTCCCACATCCCAATCAATACTTGGTAACACATCATGTATTCATATTTGCCAACCCTAATATTAAATCTCCACAACATTGTCTGTCGTTTGTCTTGTCTTGTTTAAGTTATTGCTTTTTTATTTGTTTTATATTGAAAATAAAAATTTGTTCCATTTGTGTGTTTACCTGATGTGTAAAGAAGACAGTCTGTCCTTGTCTGCATTATTTTCCACCTCGTTCTGCCACTGTGGCCATTTTTATTTTTATTTTACTTTAATGTTTCTGTCCATGAACACAAGTATTTTCCAATAAAGTGAACAACAGCTTATTTAAGTCAGAAATCCAATAAAGGTTGTGTAAACAGGCAGAATGTTTCACAATATCATAAAGCACAAAACAAAATTCTTATGACACATCACCGAGTTTACATTTGATAGTAATGAAACTGCAAGGTCTGAAACCACAGTCAGCATCTTTATGTTCACATCTAAGTTGGGTTAATATTTCTTGTTTGTATGCATTTATATTTGCGTGCAAATGCTATTGATGAAGAGAGAACCATGCCATTAAGAAATACTGTGGAAGTGAACTATTGGTGCCATTATTCACCACACATAACTTTTATAGTCACAATGGATTAGTCCGAATTCATTTCCTAGTTAGAAAAAATTGTGCACCATTCTCTATTGATTTAAAAGCCAGCAGAACTATGAAAAATGTATGTACCTCTTTGAGCAACATCCCTCCTAGTAACACAGGTTGGGGAGTTTCCATTTGGCATGTGTTATCAGCAGGTCCCAGAAGTGTATTTATTATCCTGTCTTTTACAAGAGCAACTTGTAAATCATTGAATTAGTGTGTGCATGCTCAAGGCCTCCAAATGTTCCATTCCTTTTTTTCTGAAGTGCTTCTTCCTTCTTCTTACTCCCCAAGGAGGAAAGAACAGCTTTAAGAGAGAGAGAGGGAATCGTCCATCTTACCACAACAGCACTCTGTTACAATGAGTGACATTAATGTATAGGCAAGCATAATGAAGGATTAGAACAATTCAGAGCTGTATTTTTATTACCTGTTTCTTGCGAGATATTAAGCAACCTTTAAACAAATATAGATGTGTTGCTGCTGTGTTCAGCCCAGCTTTGTGGTAATAAACTCCTCTCTTCTCTTTCTAGGCTGGGCTTCTTCTTTGTTTGGAGGGGACGGCCGATCAGGCAGCTCCCCGGCTTTGCCTAGAAAACAGCAGTCACGAGATAAATCTCCGGCCAGCCTTTTAGAGGATGCACAGGATATGGGCACATTTACACGAGACCGCAAGACTGGCTTCTTTAGCTCCTTCATAAAGAAGAAATCTTCCTCCTCTTCCTCCTCCTCACCATCCTCTCAGCTCCAACAGAACCTCCCGACGCCACCCAAGAGGAGCAGTTCTTTCCGAGAGATGGAAACGCAGCCTCACAAGAAATACGAGCCTACCGCTGATTTCAGCGCTCCTCCTCCCCTACCCCAGTCAGACAGTCTTAGTGGGTTCTCTGCCTCTCCCTCTCACTCCCATGGGGAACCCACCCAGGGTCAGTCACGCTGCTGTGGGGCTGCTTTTGGACAGAAACCCTCTAGTGGGGGCATCGGTTCACAGGTGACGAGCGGCAGCAGTTGGGGTGGGTTGGCTGGTTTTTTCACCCCTAGACTCATAAAAAAGACCCTGGGACTACGGACAGGAAAGACAACCTCTTCAGAGGATGGTGGAAGTATAGCTAGTGGGTCTAAACCCTTCCCTAGGTCCAATTCTACCTCCTCGATGTCTGCTGGGCTGCCAGACCTGGAGCGCATGGCTCTGACTTTACCCAGGAACCGTAGTGCTAAACCCCCTCTAGAGAGGACTGCCTCCACAACGTCGCAGCCAGAGAACGGGGCTGCTCGGCCCTCAGAAACTCTGCTGAGGCGGATGGATGAGGGGACTGCACAGATCAGGGAAAGGCCCAAAGCCAAGCTACTACCCCGGGGCTCTGCTGCAGGGGTGAGGGCACCAGGAGTTGGGGGGAGGTGGGGGGAATCGGCCAGGGAGGGTAGAGAGGAGAGTGGGGGAGGACTGGACAGGCAGCAGAGTTGGTCATCTCCCTCTAAGACTTGTAGTTTGAGTGCTCCAACAGCTGCAACAGGTGCACCAACTCACAACCACAAAGTCCCAGTCCTGATCTCCCCCACGCTGAAGCACAGCCCAGCTGACGTGCACCTGGTCGGGCTTGACTCTCAGGGGAACCGCTTCAAACTGCTGTCTGAGCACCAAGCAGACCGGGACAGGCCGCGGCTTGTAAAACCCAAGTGTGCTCCTCCTCCCCCTCCCACTCTGCGCAGCCTACAGCACTCCTACAGCGGCGACGGAGAGGAGCAGGTAGGAGGAGCACCTGTGGAAGTAAACGGAGACACATTGAAAGGCCACAGGTCAGGGCGAATGTCAGGAGGAGCGACGACGGGCAGACCGTCAGTGCCACCACCACAAGTGCCTCCTGCATCTTCCTCCTTTTCCTCGTCTTGCTCTGCCACCACCAACACAACTCCCACAAAAATGGCCAATGGAGCCACCACCACTGCCTCCTCCTCCTCACACGCAGCTGGTTCCAAAGTGGCACTTCGGCGGACCAGGCAACAAGCAGAGAGGGTGCCCCTGGAGCGGGTGAGTCGCGAAGCCCTGCTGGAGAGCGCTGAGTGCCTGAGCAGCGCCCTCCATGCCAGCTCCGAAAGCCCCGCCAGCAGCCAGGTGCTGGATGCTGGCCACCAGCTGCTAGACTACTGCTCAGGTTATGTGGACTGCATCCCTCAGATGAGGAACAAATTTGCCTTCCGAGAGGCAGTGGGGAAGCTGGAGCTCAGCCTGCAGGAACTGAGGGCCTCGTCCTCGGGAGGTGGAGGGCTGAGCAGTGTCGGACCCAACACTGTACTGGACAACCTGCACAGCTGTATTAAAGAGATTAGGGACGTAGTACAGAGGTAGCCACTGTGACACCAACTGTCTCCTCTGACTACCTGACAGATCGCTTATATTCCCTTTTTTTTATGTTTCTGGTTCTATTGACACCTTTTTGGGGGACAAAATGAGAAGAATCTCTTAAGTACCTCAGAGAAATCACTACAAAAAATTTAATCTTTTTATTGTTTACAAACAACCGTTTCATAAAATGCCAGTGTGGACACTAATTTTGCTCTGACCTGTACATATTGAGAAATGTTTATACCAAACAAAATGTGGTTTGAGTCACACCATGAAATGTTTAGCCCCATGTCTCAACCCGGCCTCAATAAAGGCCTCTTTGTTAAATGAATGTCGAGTGTATCAGCTGTGTGTAGCCAGCCCAGAGAGTAGGTCTCACTGTGCTTATCTGTCAGTGTGTCACATACTGAGCGAGAATGGTGATGGTTGTGCCCAGCCTTACTGAGAATACTAGACAACTGTTTTCACTGACTAAGCTCCAACGGTGTTTCACAAATGCGTGAATCATCAGTTGGGTGTGCTGTTTCACAGTAGAGAATTTTGCTCAGTGTCTGGGGAACTGAGTGTGACCGTAAGCCATTTTTTAAGCCATTGTATTCTAAAGTATCGGAAATTACATCAACATCAGGATTCAATATAATTCAAGGTTTCGGGGTCTCAATTTAACACTTGTTCATAGATTGCTACAGACATTTTTAGGGTAGGTGGACAAATGCGATAAAATTATAACTTCTTCTTTTGTTGCTATCGGATTAAAGCCTTTTTGTTGAGCGTAATCTTTAAAGAATAATCAACTGTTGATGCTGACATTCCCACGTGTCCACACCAGGTGAGACCGTTAAGAAAAGACTGAAGGGATCACTTACATCATTAAAAGTTGTGTGCATTTGACAAGCGTGTAAATAAGCTCAAGTGAACAGTAAAGGTTTACGTTTCAGTAATACCAAATAGGCTTATCAAATCTAAAAGAAAGATTTATATGAATCTATTTTGTTTATTTCCCACAACACTAAAACATAATAAATGAATGTGGGGTGTCTTTATCATATGCACAGCAATTGTGTCGCTTCAGTGACGTGACTGATGTTCACACCTTAACACAGTGCCACATAAATGGGGGGGGGGGTCCCCTAAAGCATTTCAATATTTATGTCCAGTTATTCTTGCACACTTACATTTCTTCCTTGTTTGATGGAGTGTAAAAGAGTGGAGCGAGGAGAGGGAGGGCACAGGGTAGCGCATGAGGAGGTGAATTGGGACAGTATTTCTATAAGTGTCCTTCTGAGTATGGACAGTGCTGGATTCCCTGTAGCCTTGTCGTGGCCTCAGTGCCTCAAATTCTTCAATGTATGAACACTGCGAAATGCAGAGACCTACTTTACACTAATCACACAGTACTGATCTCTCAACAAACAAACTGCAGTATGTCTTCAGCACATGAGCGATTTGTACATTATTTGGTTCAAAGAAAAATGCTTTTAGAATGTCTATGTATGAACTTGAATTTTAAATTATTCCTGTTTTTTTTTTTATTAAAAGCACAGACCTATTTTGAGAGAAAAGTTATGTAAATATTTGATTTATTTCATATCCAGGAAACAAAAGATTTATGTGTGGTTACAGCATAAAGAGCAATGTTTTTGACTGAAGAGATGTATTGCAAGACTGAGGCTCATCCACCCAGATCTGAATATCTGCTTTATGAATGTATTATTCTTCCGTTCTGAACCCGGTCGAATGTTCATCTGCATGACTCTTTAAACTCTTAAGGTGCCATTCTTTTTTTATTTATTGTCATTTTTATTTGCCCATACTTAAAATTTTGGTCACTCTAAAGAATTAAGTCCAGAAACAGCTGCTCTGTTTATTTTATTTTTTTTAGCACAAACAAAAACTGTGTACAGTGCACACACAACTCAGATATTTTTTTTTATTTTCTTTATTTTGGCTCACATCTTAATGTACACTGGATAAGGCCTCAGACACATCAGCTCATTGACACATGTTGGATACGAATACTACAAAATCTAATCTGTAAACACTGCAGGTCCATAACACTTTCAACATGTCTGTTATTGACACTTGATGGATTGCCAAGTAAAAGTTTTTGTCAACTTGTTTTGTGGTGCATTCATATCATTTCATGCTATTATGTGTCAGTATAAATGTCCAATTTCTTGCCAAACAGGATCCTTTGAGACAAACTGATGATTAATTTATAATTCACTGTGAGTTTCAAATAACATGGATGAAAAATAGCCATCTTTTTTTTTTTTTATGATTCTTGGTGCCTTTTTGTGAACAAATAATTTATGTACAGTACACTATCACTGCAACAGGCATGGCAACGTCAAAGTCCATCATTAACACATTCACGTGTCTTCTTTACTTTGCCATGAGATTGCGATAAATAAAAGTGAAAATATTACTACAGCATGCATTTCTGTCATTCGGAGGTTTAATGGTCAGATGCAAACTTGAAACCGAAACGGTGCACTTTGTCTATTAAGATTATGTATCTAGATGCTCAGTTACTAATGCCATTTATTAGTGGCCATTAACACTGTTAGTGCAGCCACACCTGGTTAAATGACACATACGAGTCTGCTGCACTAAACCCAAGCTGCTCTGTTGTCTCATACTCTGACCACATCAATAGTTTTGTCTAAAAATGTTTCTTTATATTTGCCAAGCACCAGTCTGGCCTCTTTGCCTGTTAATTTTCTGTTGATTTTTAGTGTATCTCTATGGAGCAGGTTTCACTAAAAGCCTTATCAAAGAGTGATATATAACCTTCCAGAGTCAAACACATTTCCAGTCTGGACTATTATTGTTATTTTTTTTAAGAAATAAATCATGTAGAAATTCAATAAATGATTACAATGTTAGTAAATTCACTTGGTACCGCTGTTTTTCCCTCGAATCTGATGCGATGCTGTTGGACACAAATTTCTGCTTATTCTCATTATCAGTCTTCTGCGTTGTCTTTCTTTATGTTGTCTGCATTTATCCTGTATATCTGTTTTTTTTCCTTTCTGTCTCCCTGTTTTGGAGAACAGCTCTGGAGAACGTGTGTACACATCATTATACCAAAGGCCACTTCTTCAGTTGTACGAGTGCAATGTAAACCAACACACACAATAATGGAATATGTGAATCTAAACAGGGATGAAAAAATGGCAGAGATGTTAACATTAACTTTTTTATTGTACAAAATATATATTTTGTGTTTTTTTTTTTATTTAAAGCTCACGTTATATTACTGTGAAGTTTTGCTTATCAGTGTTAAGCCTATTGTAAATAATAAAGATATTGATGAATACTGTTTCATTTTAGTTTGTTTGTCTTCCTCTAATTTAAAAACAATTATAAAAGCATCCATGTGTTCAGTTAACTTATTATAAATTCTAGTCTACACCCCAAAAAGATGAAATACCCCACACTGCATTACAGTGTATTCATGATGTATAAGACATCCAGATTGTTTTCATCAGAAACATCTTGATTTTTAATCCACCCTATAAGTACAGGAGCTATAGTGCAGCACCGGAATAAGCAGACAGAATATTTGTGGTGATGTTCACCTTAAGAAAAAATGTCTTAACGATTATTTCCTTACCAATTTATCTGCTGATTATTTTCTTGATTAATCAATAAAGTAATAACAAATGTGCATAACAATTTCCCAAAGCCCAAACTGACATATTCAAATATGACAACAAATATAAAATGTTGCTATAAATATAAAGCAATAAATCAATCAATCAATCCTGTAAAAATTACTGAATGAGTACAGTGGGAGGAAAAAAGTTGACTGTAGCTAATATATCTAGTGTTAGAAAGAAACTAAGTCTGGCTGCCTGGGAGTACCAGGTGCTGTAAACTTTGGCCTCATCTTGCTGAACGCGCCTGATCTCATCCGATAAGCCGGGTTGGGCCTGGTGAGTACTTGGATGAGAGAAAGTAACTAAGTCCATTTCCTCAAGTACTGTACTTAATTATAATTTTGTGGTACTTTTACTTGAATATTTCCAATCTGATGCTCCTTTATACTTTTTAACTCCACTACATTTGTTTCACAGTTGTAGTCACTAATTTACATGTAAAACATGATCAGGTAATAAAATATGATTATTACAGATTCTACAACTTTACAACTTTAAAGTATATAGTATAAGTATTTTGCTTACGTGTTTATGCTTTAATATATAATAATGTCTGACGGGGGCCATTCTGCACACAAAGTATTTTTAGTTTTGATACTTCATGTACATTTTATTGCTAATACTTCTGCACTTAGTAAGATACTGAATGCAGGAGTCATCTTGTAAGTATTTTAGTGGGACATTGATACTTTTACTTAAAAATGTGACTACTTCTTACAACATTTAACACGACCATGGTGCAGTGGTGGAATGTAATGTGAATTTACTCAAGGACTGTACTTAAGTACACATTTAATGTACTTTACGTGAGTCTTTTCTCTTCATTACACTTTCTACTGCTACTGCACTTTTTAATAATTTGGGGACTATTGGTTGAACAAAACAAAACATTGTGAGTATGTCACTCTGGAGAAGTTGTGACAGCATTGTTCACTATCTGCTGAAGCTTTACAAACCAAACAATCAGTCTGTTCATTGATAAAATAATCATCAGATGAATCCATAATGAAAATAATATTAGTTGCACCCTTAATATTAAAAAAAAATAGCTCACTACAACAGTAAAATCCTACTTTTATATTAACGCACGAGTAATAATAATCTCATGCTATAACATATAACAGTATAACAATCATTTTTGGGGGGGACATTTCCCCACATTTAGTATACTTTAAGGACATTTCCCTGATCATACATTCACACTTTTACTAAAGTAACATTTTCAGTGCAGGGCTTTTACTTGCAACAGTAGTATTTACAGTAAAGGATCTGAATACTCCTCATCATCCTCCTCCTCCTCCTCCTCAGCAGCAGCAGCAGCAGCAGCATCGTCCTACGGTCCTACGGTCCTACGGTCCTACCCGTGACGCCGGCCCACACCTTATCCGACTCCTCCCCAACCGTAGCCTATTGTAAAGATGGCGTCCATCATGGAGGGGCCGCTAAGCAAGTGGACTAACGTTATGAAAGGTTGGCAGTATCGCTGGTTCGTTTTGGACTACAATGCCGGCTTACTGTCATACTACACGGTACGTTAATTTTCTTGGTTTGTAAATGCCAGACTGACCCCCCACCCCAGGGTTAGAGTGTAGAAGTTGTCGCTGGTTGTCCAACCTTAGTGGGATAAAGGCCTTGTGTTTGTCAGGAGTTGGGAGTCTCAGCTGGCACAAAGAGGCGAGTCTCCTTGGTGACAGATCCTGACGTTGGCCAATAGCAACGGCCCTTGGAGACCAATTGACCAATGGGATGGCAGTATTTTTTCCACACTTCCGCTAATGTTGCTAGTTAGCTAGCTAGGCAAAAAGCCGAAATACACAGACTCGTCGAAAACATTGTTGTAAAAAAGTTCGTCGCTTTGGGTGAGAGAGAGAGAGAGACAGATTTATGTGTGTTGTCGAGACGACATGTGTCCCCGGTAGTTAAATAGGAGTCCGGCATTCGCTGGTTTGCTAGCCAAATAGCTAACAAGACACCGCGGCAGGAGACAGTGGCTGCTTGGTTTCACGTTATTTACACTTCTGATAAATCCTACGGCAGTCGATTCACTGTAATCTCATTACTAACTAATGCCAAGACTAAACCAGACAAGAAAGTGTCAGTGTTACTGTTAGTGAAACAAGCTGTAGGGAAGATACCAACTAAAGGCTGTCCAATCCTCTCAGAAAGTTGACTGAGTCGTCAAAGCCCTTAATTTATCTTAGCTTACTTAGTTACTTGTGCAATAGTCAGTAGCTGCAGGACTAGTTTTTCAATAACTAACGTTACATGGTCTTAAATGAATCCAGGAACTCAGTGGCAGACACTAACCTGAGTCCGGACTGAGGCATTGTTTAGATAACCGCATGAAGGTGACTGTGATGGTCGAGATGTGGTGTCCTGGTAAAGTGTGAGAATAAACCTGCAGTTATTGTACATTTCATTACATTACAAGGCAAAGCCCCACTGATCAAGAGGTGGCAACAAGTCCGTTTACTTGTGTCCGACTGTAGTCTGGAGAGAAAGTGCTGAATCTGGATATCAAATCGATGCAGAACAAGAGCCAAGAAGCAGTGTCGGTTTTAGAGCTAAAACAATTTTGATGATGATTAGTGGATTGACAACCATGTGCTGGTTTCAGATTCTCAAATGTGAAGTTTTGCTGTTTTTTTAAAATATCTTTATGCTTATGATTGTATATTCAATATCTTTGATTTTTGCACTGTCGATCTGACAAAACAGACAATTTGTATGCCATGTCCAGCTTGAGATATTGTGTTAGGCTATATATAATATATATTTATAACATATTTAAAAACTGTATTATATATGTATAATATATATATATATATATACACATATTTACATTTAATAGACAAAAGGATTCATCAAGAAAAAAATCAGCAAATTAATTGACAATAAAAACAATGTTAGTTACAGCCCTAATCTGATGTGCAACAAAATGTATCAAACTGTTTAAGTGAAAAGGGGTTTTACATCATAAAGTTTGCATTATAAAGCATTCATTAACAGTAAATTAAATTGTAGTTTGAGTCAGATTTGAGTTCAAGTGATACGACTCCGCTGCCTTCATCCAGTGCTGGATTTTAGTCCCAATTTTACTCAATTTGTCTCTCTGAAGTTTCATTAAGAGCAGGGACTCTGGGACTATAGCTGGATCAAATTGCTCATAGATATTAATAGACTGACGACATACAGGACAGCCTGAATATGTAGTTTATGCAGTTAGCCTTGTATATAATATGGAGCTGGTTGGTTATAATCTCCTCATAATGACTTGTGTTAAATGTTCCCAACTTAACCAAAACAACTTCAGGCTACTGGTGTGTGTGCTATCTGTATAGGACTTTTCGTAACAGAAAAAGCACAAGTGTTACTAATAACATTAATGATTGCTCCGTCCTACTCAAGTGTCCTAGAAAGCCAAGTGAGAGTGAGCCAGTATTAATGAGGTCAAGATCCTGAAACCAAAGCAGCCCATCGTTCATTTGAACACCTCTCCTTTTTCTACTGTGACATTTCAAAATATCTTCAGTGAAACAGTGCTATTATCATTTCCTCTTGCACCATATAACGCAGGTTGAATCATACATTTTAAAAATATCAAGCCTACCCTGTCCTGCATACTGACTGTATTAATCCCTGATTTGTTGTGGTTTACAGTCAAAGGACAAGATGATGCGAGGATCCAGAAGAGGCTGTGTGCGACTCAGGGTAAGATTCTCAGGATCAAGGCCACCCTGTTCCTGAACGCTGTTTCTCTAAATGCTCATTACTCTGCATGCTTAGCTGAGTAGCTGGCCCCGCTTTTACCAGGTATTTGGAAGAGTTTCCACATGTTCAGGGCATTGAGCGCAGTGCAACACAACCCATGTATGTATGTACAATAGCAGTATTGTGCTGTTGTCATGTGATTTATGAAGTGCCTGATTTGATGACCTAGTTCATAAGGTGTCATTAGTTTCCTCCACAGCTCTATAGCTCCACCTTTTTAATCCTTCCCAATAGAGGTGTTTGCCCTTATAATGTGTTTTCAGTAATGAGTAATGTCCACTAGATGGCAGCAGTTGTCCTACTTTGGCATCTATTTTAGTACTTAAAAGGAAAGGAAATATAGGGTGTTGTATTTATTCTGAGAGAAACCAACTGCTGTACAATTGGGGTACAAAAAAGGTACAATTACATACATTGGCTTAAATTGACAAATTATAAATAATGTATATATATTTCTTTCTCTTTTCCGTATTGAGGCAGTTGAAAGGTGAATCCTTTTGAATGAAATGTCATTATAGTGCCCCATTTAGGTCTGCTTACGTGACCTTTTTATTCTATCCTCAACTTTTTGGAAAATACAAAGAAGGCCTGGGCTCTTCTTTGTGAATATAAATATAATATATATAATAATATAAAATCAGGGAGGTAAAGTTTCTCATGAGTTTTTATAGAGTCAGTGGTGAAAGATTATTTTATGCCACCACACCTTTTTCAGGACAAAAGGCATTGGCGAGCACCATGAAAAATACCCATAGATCTCACTGAACGGAGGAAGTATCTCCTGAAACTACCTGAAAAGAGGATCCGATGTCATTTGTGGACACATAGTTATGTTTCATTTAGGGCACAGTTAGATGACAAAACGTTTTGCTATATTTGATGTTATGCA